TACTGGGGGTGCGGGGGGTGATGCCAGCGCTGAGGCTGCTGGGGGGGGTCCCGAGGGGGGTGCCACTGCTGAGGGGCAGCAGGAGGGGGCTGGGCCGGGGTTGGCAGCAGCGGCCAAAACCCGGGGCCGTCAGGTGAGAAGGGGCACGGGGGGACAGGGTGGTGGTGGCAGGGTGGTGGTGGCAGTGCCCGTGCTGGCAGTGGTAGGGACAGGGTGCTGGTGGCAGTGCCCATGCTGGCAGTGCCACCCTGGCTGTGCCCGCAGGAGCCCACCTGGCTGCAGGACGAGGAGGATGAGCTGTGGCCCGAGTTCCCTCCCTGCTTGTCCCCAGAGGGGGCCACCAGTCCCACGTCCCCCCTCTCCCCGACATCCCCTGTGTCCCCCACATCCCCGGCATCCCCTACGTCCCCCACATCCCCCACAGGTAAGGGCCCCTCGGGCAGTGTGGGCAGGGCACTGCGATGGCACTGGAGGCCCCTGGGGTCACCACAGCCCCACACAGTGTCGCAACTGTGGGGTCTCCTATAGATCCCCCACGTCCCCTCCCCGTGGGGGAGGACTTCCAGCCCCATGCCCCAGGTGGTGGCCCAGGGATGTCCCTCCATGTGGGACCCCACTGGTGCCCAGGGGGATGTGGGTGCCCCTGGGCACCTCCTCCCACTGCACTGACCCCTCCTCTCTCCCTTGTAGCTGGCACCGAGGGCTCAGGGGGCAGCGAAAGGTGAGTGTGGGCAGGGGGGGCACAGCCTCATGGGTGCCCCACAGCCAGCCAGAATCAGGGCTGCCCCATAGCCCTGCCCCACTGCAGGCACCTGGTCTACCCTTGTGTGTCCCTGGGTGCCCTCACCACCACCCACAAGGCCACTCATCTGCCTGCAGGGGTGCGCCGAAGGGGGGGCCGCAGGGCCGGGCACCCCCTGGGACAGCAGGGCCGAGGCCCAGGCCAGAGGGAGCCGGGGGGCGGCCACGGGTGAGTGCCCGGGCACAGGGGCGCAGCGCCATCCTGGAGAAGTTTGGAGGGTGAGAGGGGCCTGGCCCCATGGGGTCCACGGGGGGGCTGGGGTCAACGGGGCAAGGCACGTGGGAACTGGGTGACCATGGGGCAATGAGGGGCACGGGAGGGCTGGGGGTCCATAGGGCAATGGAAGGTATTGGGGGGCTGGGGGACCAAGGGACAATGAGGGCCACAGAGGGCTGGGGACCATGGAGCAATGGGGGATATGGGGTCCTGGGGGGCCACAGGGCAGTGGAGGGGCACAGGGGACTTGTGGAGACGTAGGGTAACGGGGGGACTGGGGGCTATGGGGCAATGGAGGGT